CACCTGCCCGAAGACCTCGAAGATTTGCAACGGCACCTGGGCCCCGAGCCGTCTGAAGCTGATTCTCCGAAGGCAGGGGCCAGGACCCATCTGGAGGAGCGGCCAGGCCAGTTTCGGCAGCTAACCACTTGCACTTGGAAAGGTTGACGGGTGGGCACATGTCCCCGAAGTCCCCGAGCAGCTGCCCCGCTGCTCCAGGGAGCTCGCCCAAGACGGCAGCCTCGGGGCCGAAGCGCCGCAGCGACACGTCGCCCAGCGGGGCCGAGCGGTGAGCGCGCTCGCGGAATGTTTTGAAAATCCACCAGCACCGTGGCACACTGAGCGCCCCGAGCTCAGCAGGAAGCGGCCGCGAGGTTGTGCGACCACCCTGCGGTCAGGTAGTCGTCGGCCCGCTTCCCCAGAAAATCTCCACGCTGTGAGCGCGCCCCCAGTCTGGGCGCATCAGTTGTCCATGGCAGTTCCGCAGCTTCATGCGCAGACGGAACAGCAACAACTCAATCGGTCGAGCCCCCCCCCCTGTGGTTTCGGAACTATCGCGGCCCAATCCAGGATCCACGCGGGGTCGTCCTCGGAGGCCTGGAATATACCCACGATCCTAATCTGGCAGCTGGCCCGGAGCTGGAGGGCCCGCTTCGGGTGGAACATGTCCCAGCCCAACCCTGCGCCTCCAAAGTGGGGCTCGCGTGCATCCTGCCCCCCGCCCGCGCCTCCATGGCCGGGGGGGCGAGCTTCGCGGCCCCTCGGGGCCGCGTCGGGGGCCGCGCGTCAGGAGCGCCCCGATCTCCGGGTCGCCATTGGCAGGGGCCCTCCAAGACAGTCCTCCAGGTGGGGTGGTTCCGGCGCCGGCGCGCCCCCATCGCCCGGCACCCCGCCGGCGGCCGCGCTCTCGAGCGCCCGCGCTCGCTGCAGGAATCGAGGAGCACTCGGGTGCGAGGCCGAGCAACAACGCGGCGCAGCCTCTGCTCGGGCTGGCGCCCCGCCCCGCTGTCTGCGCCCGTCGGCCGGCCAGGCGAGAGGCCGCCGGGGGGCGTCGACGACGGCGCGCGCACCAGGGCACCCACTGCGCCCCGAGGGGCCCCTCGACCTTTGGCTCCGAGATGGCCGCGCCGAAGCTGGCTCGCGCGCCGAGCAGATCCAGAGATTTCTGGTGGACGTGGCCGGCCGGGGCCCCGGTCATCTGGGCGCGCGCCGCGTGCGGGGGCGCGTCGACCAGGGGGGGCGCCGCCGTCGCAGTGTCGCCCCTCCCACCGCTGGTGAGCTCATCGCACGCGCCCGCGAAAGCGCCCCCCGCGCGTTGGAGCCGCTCCGACAATGACCAGCTCGCCTGGGCCTATTTTACGCGAGCCACCCGCGCCAAAGGTCGATCTTGAGCGTGGGAATGAAAAATTCGAACCCCGCCTCGGGAGTCAGCGGGGGGGAGGTCGCGCCCGCCTGGCGCGTCCCAGGGGCGATGTGAAGGGCGCCCCCGGACCCCCCTGTGGAGGTCGGCGCAGGGCGCCGTCTCCGCGTGACCTTCAGTGCCCTTCCTCCAGCCGACTCGCGGCCGGGGGCCCCCGCGCGGCGGCCCCGCCCCCCTTCCCCATTGGAACTCCAGCCCGCCGTGGGTTCCTTCCGCGACGGCGTCTCAGCCTTCTCTGGGCGGGTGGGCGAGCGGCGCGATGACAGCAACGCCGATTCAGTCGTGGGCCCCAAGGTAATCCTCGCGCTCGAACATGCGCCCGCCTTCCTCGATGCGGAAGCTGGCCCGCCCGCGCCTGGGTGATCATTTCCGTCCAGCCTCCTGTCGGAGTCGCTGCCGGGCAGGCCGTCGGGGCACTGACCTCTGCTGGCGCGCGCCGGGGCCGCCGGGGTGGGCCCCGCCGGGCGGCGACGGCGAGCCGCCTCCAATGTCGGGCATGCCGGCGGCGCCCCCCACCGCGCTGGAAATGCTGGGGATGCCGCCCCAAAAAAAAAACAATGACCAACGCGTGCCCCCCCCATCGGGTCGGGCCCGCGCGTTTGGACATGCCGGTCTTTCCACCCAGAACCGCCGTCGCCGAACTCGCTGCTGCTGACGCCGCCGAAGCCGATGTCGATGCGCGCCGCCAGGCCGCGCGCTGACCTGCTCCGAGACCGCCCAACTCACGCCCCGGGCGCACTGCTGAACAGAGAAGCCGAGGGGGGGCCACTCCGAGTCCACTGCGCTCACCGCCGAGAAATGTTCGATTGGCCCTGCAGGTGGCTCCCGGGTAAAAAGCGACGCTACTTCGTGGCCGAGCGCTCGGACAGCACCTTTGCCTCCACGGCGGGCGACGCTCCTGTCTCGACTGAGCGCTTGATCCCGCCCTGGAGCTCCTCGTCCTCAGATAAGTGCTCTCCCATGGGTGCGTGCCCACGGTCACCTCCGGCCTGAAGACCCCTGGCCCCGTCACCTGAAGCAGGAGGGGCGCTAGCGCTTGCGCCAGAATGAACAGCAGGAGCCCCGCTGCCATCGCTGGCCGCCTTAGCTGCGTCAGCTGCTGTCTTGGCCTCGCGCTGCAACGCCTGGAGCATGTCCAGTGCTGGTTTAGCTTCAGTCGAGCTGGAGACCGCTGGGCCGACGCCTGCCAGCTCCACTTGGACAGGGTCGTCGGCGGCTTCGGGGTGCACGCGATGGGCCATTCTGACATGGCGCTCGAGGTCGGCCCCCTGTGCGACAAGAGTCTCGGCCGTCTCGCTTATGCTCTTAGCCAGCAAGACATGCTGCCCCTTGAACGAAGTGAGCTTACCATCGAGACTACTGATGTATTTCTTATCATCGTCCACGCGATACTGGGCAGCGATGGCTGAGAGAGGTTTCCGCTCAAACTCCACCTGCCTTGCTTTATCCATTGTGGACGCAGCATCTTCTGGGACATTCGCCGCCGTGAGGAATGTGAACGCCTGCGCATACGTGAACGAATCCCCGCCCCCACCACCACCAGACTGCTGCTGGCTACCAGTCAGTCCTCCGCTTCCGCCGCTGCCACCATTCTCGAGTGCTGCGATCTCGCATTTGAACCCCTGTACGTGTTGAAGGCGACCATGCTGTAGGACGCCTAGCCGCCCTCGCGCGAAACCCGAGAAAGTAGTTAACGGTGTGGAAAAACCGGCCACGCAAGGCCTAGCTGGAGTCAGTAAAGCATGGGAAGCCCCAAGAAACACTAAACAATCAAACCAACTTAGCCTATCCAGCCCGATTCCGGATCTGGCGAAGAAACGGAAGGGAGGAGGTAAGGCGACGCCGTCGCCGGGGCCTTTCCGGCAGGGATCCCACCCTCCGCCACGAGCGGCGGCCGGGTGACAGGGGCTCGGGAGACAACTCCCGCATCCGTCGCCGAAACGTGCAGGGCGCACCGACCACCACCACACCACCAACCGGGGGCGGGGGCGGGGGCGGGTCGTCGGCGACGTCGACGTCGCAGCCGAAGCCGTCGTCGGTCCCAGTCTGCTCGCCCGCCTGCGCCGGGTCTGGAGGCGGACTGGGGGGGGGAAGCGCGGGCCGCCGCTTCGAGGGCGGAGCGCCTTCAGGGCAGGCCGCGGCGGGCCGCCGAACCGCGGGCCCTCTGCGGGCCGGAGCCGGGGCGGCGTCCCGGGGCAGTGCGTCCAGGATGCGGATCCCGAGCTTGCACGACATCACCTGCTTTGAGCCCCTTGATCGCGTTAGACTGTGCAAGCTGCCCGTCGCTCGGCTGCCTGCTATTTCCTCCTGGTTGGGTACGCGCTGCTGCAACTCCAACTTTGCCCGCTGCGATGGCACGAGGGACCGACCCAATATATCCACGGCAGCGCAGCCGACTGGCCCAGTTTCCGTCGCGCCCACACCTTCAGTCCAACGTTCGAAGCTTGGGGCCCGCAAGTACGTCGCGCTTCGAACTCATGGACTCTCTGGAACCCCGCTCGGACAAAGCTTGGTTCGCAGGTGCGAATGCCATCTCGAAGTGCGCACCTGCAACGCTCTCCAGCGCGAAATGGCGAGGAGGATGAGGATGAGGAGGACGGCAGAGCATCGGCCACGCGACCTGGAGGAGGCGCGCAGCGACGAGCGACGGCGACGGCGACGACGACGACGACAAACGACGATAGACGGCCGACGATGTTCGGCGGCGTCCGGCCTCGAGGCTGGCGGGGCGCCCTGCTCGCGCTCCGACCCGCGCGTCGCCGCAGCCCCGTCCAGGTCGAACACGACCTGCCCCTCGGCGCGCGCTCCGCGCTGCTGGCTCCCCGCGCGCTGCTCCCTGGTCCCTCCGCCCTGCTTTTTCGCGCTGCCTCCCCCCTCCTCGCTTCTGCGTCGCCGCCCTCCGCTGTTTCGCCTCCTCCCCGCTCTTGCGCCGACTCCCTCTGCTGTTGCGCCCCTCACGTCTGCGCTTCTGCTCCCGCCTCCCTCTTCCTCGCTTTTCCGCCGCCTCTCCCCTCCCCCCCTCCTCCTGATCGGCGAGGGTGAAACAGAGGTGGCCAGTTGGGGTCTTTGGCCCCAGTCAGGCTTCACCAGTCCTCCGCCCCGACCTTGACGGGTCAATTGAGATGCATGCTCTTCGGCCATGGGAGCTTCCGTCCTGCAAGGAACCGTCTCCTCGCTGCTCCCTCCCAGCTTCCTTATCCCCATCCCTTTTCCTTGTCGGCAACCATTCCCTGTCGCACCACCGGATGACTCGGTAGGGCGGACCGAACGTGTCGCGTGCGACTTCCCGACCGCTTATGATCCTGACGCTTGAAACTTCCAACACCTACGGGGATGGAAGGGGTAATCGTATTCAGAAGGAGGGGGATCTCGCTTAAGCGCTGGGCGCAGTCAAAGTTGGGCCCTGTCATTCGCACCGCGCGAATTTGTTTTACATGCCTGCAGTAACTACTAGGATGCAAGGCTTCTCCTTGCAAAATGGGGCTTCTCGCCTCAGAGCCTCGCGCATCGCATCGCCGTGAAAACTTGCAACAACTTCTGGGCTGCAGGGCGGCTCCCTTTCAGCATGGGTCGCCGTACCGCCACGCACATGCTTTCCACGTTTGGAACAGGTGCGCAGATTGAGGACGGCGGATCCTTTCCAACGGGGCTGACGGTTGAGACGACGTCAACTTTAACGACCACGACCTTGAACATGACTAGCAGCTACACGGATGGAGGGCTGCTCTTTTTCAATACGGAGCTCTCTTATGATACTTCCTGTTCTAACGACCATGAGCATAAACTCGTGCACAGGCTACACGGGTGGGGGTCGGTTCACACCTCGATTGACTGTACGATTACTTATACCTGTTCACATCCGTTGCCGTTCGCTAGCGGGATGGGAAGTAATTCGTTTTGAACGCGGGGCCCGCGCCTGAATGGCAGGTCCAAGGCATTGTTTTAGTGAGAAGTATAGACTGTGGGGACTTGTGATGAGGGGGTGTGGGACGTGAGGGTGTATTGCAGCATCCTTGACGCGTCTTGGGCTTGCTCTGATCCTCCTCAGCCTCCACCTCCTCCTCCTCCTCCTCCTTCTCCTCCTCCTCCTCTCTATTACTGGTCCCCACACTGCCCAATGTGAACACTTCCTCCCTCTCTCCCCGAGTTCTGCCTGCCTTTGCCACGGCCTATCATCCCGTACACAGCTTTCTCGCAAGCAAGACTGCCCACCTATGATGTCCGATGCGGTTTGTCCAATCACAACGCTCTCGGTCCCTCAGAACTTGTTGCCTGGCTGCAGCGTCGACAGACGTTGCGGACTTCCATCGGGCCTCTGCGCAACAGGGTGCCGCTCTCGCCGTGCTGCTGCCCATACTCTTGCACCAACAGATGTGATCATCTCGGTGGAGCGTCTGCCTTGTTTCAAGGTGCCGGTTTGGGCTCGTGTTCAGAGGAGCGGAGCGGCGCTCTCGCTGCAGCGTTGGCTGCACTCGTGCATCGACACACATATAGCTCCCGTCGCAACGCTTGCCAAATGTCGAATCAGTCCTTGCCTTTCTCGTCGCTTTCCTCCGTCTGACCTCTTGCTCCGTCCGTCAATGTTCCCCTTCCAACCTCCGCCCCTGGCATGCCCCTTCCAATTCTCCTCCGTCTCCTGCATGTCCCTCCCACCTCTTGATATCCAGGGCGCTCTTGGACACCGTAACCTTTCAGGGATCCTTCGATATTCGACTTCGAACAGATGGAGCTCAACTTCAGGGTACGGGATGGGAAAGAGGTGTATGATGTCCGATACGGTGCGAGCGCGCCAGGTTTGTCTCTCCTCTTCTCCCCCATCGACACGTGGACCCGTCAGGGGCGCGTTTGGACCAGAATGTCCGGGCGGATCCCGTCGCGGCGACGAGAGAGCGCCCCCGAGGCCCCAGACGAGACAAACACACAAATCACAGAATGTTGGTCCTTGGTCCTCGAACTTCGACCCTCCTCGTGCATCATCCTGCCCCTGGCCGGGCCTGGTCGTTGGCCCCGCAGCCCCGTGGCGATCCACGGACGGGTGGATGGGGCATCTTCGCCTCGGGGAAGGCGGCGCCAGAGGTGCGATGCCGAAGTTTTGCAGTTTCTTTCGCCTCGGGATGCTTGTCAGCAACTACGCCTCGCCGAGAACGTTCCGGGGGTCTGCAGATCTTCTTAAGCGGCCGCCTGAGGCCCGAGCCATGGCCCCAAAGCCGAGCCCCTCGCGCAGCGAACAAACAACAACGGACAGACACTGCAATGTTTGGCCTGGGAGGGCCCCTTGCGGGGCTTCCTGGGTCCGTTGGAGCACGGGTCCCCGGGGAGGGGCCCAGAGCAGGGACTACCCCGCGTCATCGGAGGTCAGGGTCACGTACGTAGCCGCCAGCTCAGGAGGCCATCTCCCAGGACCCCAGGAGGCAGCGGGCATGGATGTGTTCGGGCCCCCGGCGGGGTGGGGGCGAACATGCCCGCAGGCACCGCCCCCAGGGTCCTGGACGATGCGCTCCCAGCGCGGTGGACATGTGGAAATCCCGGCCTCTGAGGGTGGCGTGGCCACTCCCTGCGCGTCGCCACTCGCGCAGCGCCGGTTTTGTCGTGCTGTGGCTCGTCGAGGGTCGCTCGCTCGTCGTCGGTCGCCCGTCGCCGTGGTGTGTCGTCCATCGCTGGGCATTCACTCCTAGAGAACCACGAGTTGCTTCTGATCAGTGGGAGCGGTTCCCAGCGTTCTCGCTTCGTCGCCGGCCTCATTGTCTCCGGTGGCGAGGCATCCGCTGGAGCGCGGGCTTGGTTCTCAACCCCACTTGCTGGAACCCCACATGCAACGGCGAAAACTTCCGCTCGATGCGCCCTCACTCCGACACGCCCTGGCCAGAGACGCCCCCAAACTCAAGAACGGCGCTCTTGCTCAAGACGTCCTCGCAAGTCGCTCGAGGTGGTGAAGGTCCAGCTGCGACGACAACGGCCCCCGTTCGATACTTCCTCACACTTGATCCCGACACACATGCATTGGCCAGAGAGGCCCTCAAGCTTAGGAGCGGCGCTCTCGCTCGAGCCTTTTTGGAAATCCGCTCATGTCAGTGACGGCGAAACTACGGCAACGGCTCCCGCTCGATACGTGCGCATAGTTTACAACTCCGAGGCGTCCTGGCAAGAGCGGCCCCAAACTTAGGAACGCTTCTCTTGCCTGAGACTTCTTATTAACTCGTTCAAAAGTGTGATTTGCCCGCGAACGCGCTAGCTCGTATGAAGGCCATGGCGGCGTGGTGCGCGCACGGAGTGTACTGCTGAACGTTTCTCTGAGGAGCTGGTATGAAAAGAACATATTCCCGAAGAGGGTTAGTTCATAGACTTGGACGGGCAAAAGGGATGAGGGAGAAACGAATGAAGATCAAATCAGCTTGCGGGGTCACATGTTCGCAAGATGGTCACCGCTGTCGTCGTAGTCGGCTTCGTCGATCGCCGTCTTCGTCGATCGTCGTCTTTGTCGTCGTCGCCGTCGTGGTGATCGTCGTTGTCGTCGTCGGCGGTGGGCTCGCCTTCGCCGATCGGGTCGCCGCGCTTCTGATGCCTGTGGCCCTTTGGCCGAAGCGGCTTGAACCGAAACCTTGGTGCACGAAAGTGTCTGGCAGCGTGAAGAAGCTTCGGCGGGGGGGGAGGGGCGAGGTGGGGGGGTGGGGCGAATATTCCAGGAGTCTTCCCAATGTTTCCAACATTTTCTCGCAAGGGGATGAAAGGGGAGGATGAAAAGGAGAAGGAGGAGGAGGAGGAGGAGGAGGAGGAGGAGGAGGAGGAGGAGGAGGAGGAGGAAGGGTAGGAGAAGGAGGAGGGGGAGGAGCGGACATAGCCCCGCTGACGGCGCGCATCCTGAGGCGCCGCGCGCGCCGCAGTGGGTGTGCCCGAGCCTCAGGGCAGAGTGAGCGTCGCTGACGGCAGGAAGGGGGGCGGAGGGGGGAGGAGCAACGAGGGTCACTGATAGGCACGAGAGGGCCGCGGGCAAGGCAGGCAGGCATGGACGAATGACGTGTCCCTGAAACCCAACTCTCCGTGGAAGGACTGGGCATGGGCGTCGTCCAGAGTTCCAGACGCTGTCCGCTCTTGTGACAAGCTCTGGGGAGACGGAGGATTGGGGAACTTCCAGGGGGTGATGATGAAGCTGCTGCTGCTTAAGATGATGGGGAGAAGACACTTCTTTCAACCAGGTAGGGGAGATAAAAGGGGGGATATGGAACACGCGCCCCACAATATGTTTTTTCCTCTCGCGGCCGGACAAAAGGGACGAGATCACCCAGAAGGGCATTGGGAGAGACGATACCGGACTCGAATCCACAGCTACGGCGGCACTTGCGGATTACCCTACAAATTCTACGCCGAACGACCCGCTGGCGGAAACCGTGGCAAGACCAACTTTGCAGAACAATGCGCTCGGCGTATTGTAGGGCGCCCCACCACAATTCTCTTCTGCCTTCTCCTTCGCCTCCTCCCTTGTTCCCCTTTCCTCCTCCCTCCTTCCTCGTTCTCCTCTGTTCCTCCTCCTCCTCATCATCATCCTTCATGGTCCTTCTCCTTCTCCTCCTCATCCTTCCTCTCCTCCTTCTGCTCCAACGGTCTACTCCCTGCACCTTCCTCTCTACTCCTTCCTCCTCCTCCTCCTCCTCCGCCTCCTCCTGCCTCCTCCTCGCGTGGTCATCCCGCCACGCGCCCTCCCACACCTCTCCTCGGAGCCGGGTCCTGCACTGTCTGGAGGTACCCCGCCAGCGTGGCGCGATCGGGGATGCCGATGTTCTCGGCAACCTGGCGGCCGCCAAGCCCTCCTTTCACACTTGAGTGTATCGCATGCATGCATGCATGTATGTACGCACGTACGTACGTATGTATGTATGTATGTATGTATGCATGCATGCATGTATGTATGTTTGTATGTTTATTTGTTTTTGTGTGTGTAGGTTTGTGTGTTTGTTTGTCTGTTTGCGTGTGTGTATGTCTGTATGTATGTATGTATGCATGTCTGTCTGTCTGTCTGTCTGTCTGTCTGTCTGTCTGTCTGTATGTATGTATGTATGTATACATATGTATGCATATATACATATATGCATGTATGCATGTATGCATGTGCTCATGCAGGTATGCATGCATGCATGCATGCATGCATGCATACACGCACGAATGTATGTATGTATGTATGTATGTATGCATGCATGCATGTATGTATGTATGTATGTATGTATGTATGTATGTATGTATGTATGTATATATATGTATACATATATATGTGAATGTATGTCTGCATGTGTGTATGCCTGTCTGTCTGTCTGTCTGTCTGTCTGTATGCATGTATGTATGCATGCATGCATGCATCTTATGTAATTTAATGTAATGCAATGTAATATAATGTAATGTAATGTACTGGATTGTAATGTAATGTAATGTAATGTAGTAAGGTATGTAATGTAATGTATGTGTGTGTATACAAGAATATATAGCTGTCTTGCGGTCTCAACCTTCTGCTCCACTCTCTCCTGCTCCTCCCCTTCTTCGCTTCACCCACCCCCCCCTCGTCGCCGCCGGGACCTCCTCTCCCCCCTCTCCCCCCCGCTCCTCTCCCTCCGCGCCTCCCCGTGTGCCGAGGCCCTCTGCAGAGCCCCGTCGAAGCAGGAAGGCCGCAGCGTTCTCGGAGCGCAAAGCCACTCGGCGACGTCCGCTGGGCGCTGCCCCATCGGCTACAGTCGGGGCTGATTGGAGAGGACACGCGGGAGGACACAGGACCCTTCCGAGGGCCACATTGCCATAGGAATGTAGAAGGCATGGGTCGCGGAACACAAGACCCGAAGGTACTCTTGACTTGGCAGGGTCGACCTACTGTCGGCGCTGGACAAACCTCCCTTAGTAGACCTCCCCTTAGAGAAAACGGCCTGGGACCGAAACCGATGGATCTGGACCCGCAAACATGACGGCCGCGACGCCCTCCCGCGAACCGAAAACAGCCAATTCACTAATCGACGTGTCAGGGTAGGAGGTCTGTCCAGCCCCGATACTAATGAGCCTCGACTGTACACGCAAGAAAGACCCTAGGCAAGAGTGACCTTCAATGCGCGGCTTTGGTGGAGCCGCGAGGGGGCTAAACCCAGCGCGCAGGACGCAACCGACGCACTGCATTCGGCGATCGGGGTACACCGGTGGGCCCGCACCAAAGGTCAATCCGGCGAAATGTCACTCTTGCGTGTAGTCGACCTCACCCCGGCACCAGGTGCGGGGGCACCCGCGCGTTGCTTGCCACCGCCGCTGCTTGCAGCGTCGGGGGATATTCCGCAGAGCAGCAGCCCAGCTGGCCCGCTCGGCGGTCACCAGGTCGGCTCTGTGAGCGCGGGCGCGAGGAGCGACACACTTCAGGTCGTGTCGCTGGCGCGCTGGATGCTCACTTCCAGCGGTCACGTGGGGGCGCCTAACTTCGCGCTTCGCGCTGTGCGAAGCGAGAGCAACTTCGCGCGCTCTCGCGCCGCCCCCCAGGGAAGAAGGGGAGGATGAGGAGGAATCGGAGCCGAAGCGCGAAGCGCGAGTAACTTCGCGCCCTCGAGGGCGCTCTTGCAGATCGTGCCGCTGGCGCGCTGGACGCCTCAGCACTATCAGCGGCCACGGGAGGGGGGAGCGGGAGTCGTTCGCGGCCGCGGCGTGTCCGAAGTGACAAGGTGTGCCGACGGGCTCTGCCATGCCACTCGCCATCGCTCGGACGTCCATTCCCTGTGTTTTTTGTTGGTTTCGTGCGTGGTTTTTTCGCCAAATGATCAAGGATGCTCCTCGATGGTCCCCACCGAGGAAAACATGCACACGTCCGAGCGATGCCAAGGCCATGATGCGCCAGCAGGGCAGGAGCTGGAGCCTTGTCGCGCGGCGCCCGAATGGGACCACTGTGCGCTGGGCGAGGCCGAGCACGCCCTCGGCGCAACGCGCAACGCGGCGGGCGCGTCCAGGCCACACCGAGAGGCGAGCATCACCCCAACGCTGCTGGGCACGAGCAGAACTCCTACCACTCGACGTGGCGGGCGCCCCTGTCAGAGGCGGTGAGCCGGCACAATCCGAGCGGCCCGCTACCAAAACCAGATGCCTAGCAGCGCTCGCTGCTTGGGCCAAGAGGTGCCATGGAGCGTCCTCCTCCTCCTCCTCCTATACCTCACTCTCGCCCACTTCCCTGCCTCCTCCTGCACGTTCTAGGGGCTGAGTCCGACAGCAGGAGAAGACGTGCGCGCGGCATCTATATACATTGACGAGGCAACAGAAACAACCGACACCTGACAAGCCCGGAGCGAGCACGAAAGAAAGACACCCGACAGGAGTACAGTCATCGTGCTGCCACCAGGAGCGCCGAGTGAGGAGCGAGGGAGCTGGTCTGGACACGGCTGGCCTCGGACGCGAGGGAGGTTCCCCGACCCGGGTCTCAGGACTGGCCAGAGGTCGGAGCCCCTCCTCAGGGGGAGGAAGACGAGGAGGAGAAGGAGGAGGAGGATGATGATGAGGAGGAGGAGGAGGAGGAGGAGGAGGAGGAGGGGGATGGGGGAGGGGGAACCCCAAGGCCAACGCCTGTGCTGTGCGCCCACGCTGGGCGCAGCGTGCCGAGCCTCACGCGGCAGCGCTGCTCCGCCTGCAGGTGGGGGCGGGGGGCCCGGCGG